ATTGGGTGACTAGTAATAGTAGCACAAATGTAATTAGAAACTGTATATCAATTGCTCTGTAAAAAGGTGTAAATCATAACTAATAAAGTTTCTATGTTTGGCAATATAAAAAAAAAAAAAATATTATATATATTATAAAATCTGAACTCATAATAAACCCAATATTTAGATCTTTCTAATTAAATAATATTTAATAATCATAATTGGGTAAATTTAATTAATTTACCTAGATAATTATCAATTCATGATATATACAAAAATTTTTTTTTGAATCTAATTACAATAGATTATTATTAAAATTTATTATATAGCTAACTTGAGTAATTAATACTTTACTAATTACACTTCAAATATTATTATTATTTTTTTTTAACGTTAAGGAGACCTCTTTGGCCTGAAAGCTTTTATTAGGATTTGAAACAATATTTTATACGCAATTATAACGATAGTACATCAAGCCATACATGCACCTTTTAAGTGCCTAATTTAAATAGTCCATCCGAAGGTTCTACACTATTTGCCGTATCTGTACCCAACTAGGGAGGTACCTATTTAAACCATCTGGTTATAACTACCACCGGTTAACCACCTAACTCCAGGTTTACTGATTATTTATATATAGATTTTGTATCACCTAGCAAAGGATTACTAACTGCTTTAGGACTTACCAACCATTTCTGGCTAATCTATCCTCGAGGTAAACCTAACAAAGCGATACATGTCTCACACATGTATTCATCTGCATGTTCCTATAACTTCTTCCTAATTAGTACATATTGGCCTGCCTTTCCGTATTTGTATCTCATGCCACCTTTTGGGGTGCTGCCGTTCTACGGATATACCTCAAGCACCAACCTTCCTAACTAGGTGCCCATTATGTACTCCTTGCCCTTATTTGGTTCACAACAACCTCGATATCCACATTTGGACCATCTCCTTATCCAGATTCTTTATTGGTCCCTTTCTTACTTCCAGCCGGCAACCCAGAAGGGTCGGTTTGCCCAGGCTTTAGGTGCCTGAAGGACGCCCTCTCCTTGGTTCATACTTTTAGAGCATATGCCCTTTTCCTCCGGTGTGACAACTCGCAGTTCAGCTGATGTGTCCTCCGCCAGCGAACCTAGTTGCTCAGTTCTTCAATCTCAAGCCCCGGTTCGAATTCAACCCTCCTGTGATACCGTCGAAGATCACTGCTACCTCCAAATTCGGGACTTGCCAAATGGGTTTTCGGTTATTCCGGTTTCTCGGATTTATTGCGCCAAAGCTCCCATAACTAGATAGTGTGACCAAAATTACAGATTTCTAAATCCAACCGTAAACCGTAGCACAGACTATTTTTCAAAATTCATTGTTCATGAGATTTGAACTCTAGACCTGCTACTTGAAGAGGGTGATGACTAGACCATTACACTAAGTTGCCATACCTATACTTCAAATATTATATATATACTTTTTATAGCAATTATAATATAATTTAGTTAAATGATTAACTATACCGAAAAAAAAAGTTATAAATTACTATACAGTATATATATATAGGCATGTAAGTATAGTATTTATTTATTTGTTTATTAATTGTATTTAATATGGCAAATCATAATGAAATTGAATTAAAATGAAAATTTTCTATTTTTTTAGGAAAATTTAAAATTTTTTGGAGACATTTTTTAGGGTTAGAGTTAGTGTTAGGGTTAGAGTTTAGAGTTAGTTTTATTAATAAAAGAGTATAAATGGGTTTTATAAGCTTTAAAGATGAGCAAGAAAGGACCCCAGTTTCATTTTAATCTGATTTCATTATGATCTGTAACATTTAATAATATTAGATTTATAGAATTTTAAAGTAATATTCATAATTAATATAATAAATTTAATTAGTTTTTAAGTTTGATACTATTTATTAATTTGGGATATTTATTTGGGTTTGGGTTTTAGGTTAAAATTATGTAGAAATTCCAAATTTCAAATCTAAACTAAGTAGAAACACCATTATTAGAATTTTTTAATTGGCACGTCACCAATGAGAAGTTGAAAGAAATTAGTAAACCCAAATACTAATGCAATATTTGGCTAAGCATATAAATTTACCAAAACAGGTTAGGGACACTTAACTTATATCAGATCTTTTGATCTGATTAGCTTAGTAATTAAAAAAAAAAAAATAAACTACAATTTGCTATATAAAGATATTCTGTTCAACTAGTGAAAAATTTTTTTGAGATGCTCTATACTACAATGAATATTTTTACAATCATTTTTGCTCATGTAATAAGACTTATCCAAAATAGCATAAATTTATTATTGCTGTTTGCATAATTTTGTGACCTTTATAATTAATTTTTTATGTAGATACCATTAAGGGAAAACCTACAATCGGGTTTTCAAGTATATTTTGTGTACTATAATGATAGATATACATAGACAGCACACTGTATACAAAATATACTTGTAAGCCTAAGACCCTAGCATAACCAATTTAAAAAATTTTGCTATCATGTAATATGTTGATCAACTACTATAAATAGGTACATACGTTGTTTTTTGATTGTGCATTTTTTTCATTATTTTTTTCATTATTTTTTTTTTGTTGTTTCTTTTTTGTTATTATTTTTTTTTCATCAGATCATTTTTTTTTCAGGTTTTTTTCGTCATTTTTTTTATCATTTTTTCCTTTAGTTAAGGTTTGGGTTCTTTCATGAAGTTTTTTGTCATTCTTTGTCATTCTTTTAGTGGTTACTTGGTTGTTCTATCGATAATACATTTTTTTAAATATTTTTTTGTTCATTTTTTTTAAGTCAATGTTTTTTTTCATTGTGTTTTTTTTTTTCTCACTTTTTCGTTGCTTTTTTGGTGCTTTTTTTGCCACTTTTTTGTCACTTTTTTGGTGATTTTTTTGGTACTTTTTTCATCTGACTTTCTTATCGTCTTTTAGTAGTTTTCTCGTTGTTCTTTTGATGATGCTTTCTTTGGTTCTTTTTACTGAGAATTTGACATTGTAGTTTGGGTTGGGTTAGGGTAGGTAACACACCTACAAAAGTTGTTTTTTCCTGTAATTTTTACTAAGAATTCAATATTGTAGTTTGTGGTTGAGTTAGGGTTAGGGTTAGGACAAAGTTTCTATTAGTAAAATTTTGTGTGAAGCATTTTAATTAGACCATGAGGATGGTTTCTTTAAATAAATGTTTTATAATTTTCTTTTTTTTTAAAAAAAAAATATATCTTAACGTATCGTATTGTTAATGTTCGTTAAGAAAAAAATTTAATTGGCCAGCACGTGACTTGCGAAATTTTTTAAGTTGGTGACGCTAGGGGGTTCTTGTAAGCCCGATTGTAGGTTTTCCCTTGACAGCACCCATATGATTAAATGATCGCGATTACTAAAGCCTGCCAATTAATCATGAATCTGAGTTTGTATCAAGCTCAGATTTGGCCGGCTTTAGCAATCACAAAATTATGCAAACCGCAATAATCGATTTACACATATCGTGATTAAAAAGGGAACTAACTAATAAATAAAATAAAATTAGGTGATCAAAGGACAATCTTTAACACTTTCTTAATTCATAACATATACAGTAATATATAATTCGATAAAAAAAATTTTTCCAATAAAAATGAAAATATTTATTCCTACAAAAACATATTTAACAAAAACTCAAGTAAATCAACAATTAATTAAACCAAAATCAATAATTGATTCAATTCAAAAATTAATCGAATTTTTTAAATCTAGTAATGGAAAAGTTTTGGTTTTGACCGGTGCAGGTATACACTCATAATTTTTATACTGTATACGTATAATAAGTTTTTTTTTATGTTGTAAATTAAATTTCTTTTTGCATAAATTTGATTATTTTATAGGTATTAGCACGGATTCTGGTATTCCGGATTATCGTGGTCCAAAGGTAATCTTAATATTATTATTATTAATGAATCTATTATAAAACTTAATAAATAAAAAGTATTGATTTTTTTTTAAATTAAATAAAATCAAAGGGAACTTATATGATATATCAAAATTATAGACCGATATTCTATCATGAAGTAAGACTTTATTTTTTTTTAAAAAAAATTTTTTTTTGTTATCTATAATAATAAAATATTTCTTTATACTATTAATATTATTTGCTATTATTATTGTTATTATTGTTATTGGTATTGTTATTGCTATTGTCATTGTTATTGTTATTGTTATTGTTTATTAATAGTTTGCATCATTACATGAATTTCGACAACGATATTGGGCAAGATCATATTTAGGATGGCCATTAATGAAAAAAGCAAAACCAAATAATTCACATTATTCACTTTCAAAATTACAAAAAAATAATTATATTCAAAAAATAATAACTCAAAATGTTGATGAACTTCATCAAAAATCTGGATCTAAAAATATTTTAGAACTTCATGGAACTTTAAATCAAATTCATTGTTTAAATTGTGGTCATATAAAACAAAGATCTGATTATCAATTAATTTTAAGTGATTTAAATCCTAAATGGAATGATTTTTTAAAAAATATTGAATTAGGTAATATTACTCCAATTGTAAGACCTGATGGTGATATGGATTTACCTCATGGTACTTCTTATGATTCATTTAATTATCCATCTTGTGTTCAGTGTTCTGCTGGAATTTATAAACCTTCTGTTGTATTCTTTGGTGAAAATATTAAAGACAGTATAAAGAATGAGACCGTAGAATTTGTTAAAAATTGTAAAAGCATTTTAGTGATCGGATCATCGTTGGCTACTTATTCAGCATTTAGAATTGTCAAGTTGGCTAGTGACCTAGGTAAAGATGTTGCTATTATCAATCTTGGTGAGACTAGAGGTGATAATTTGTCTTTTTTAAAAATTGATTTTCCTTGTGGTAATTTATTACCTGATATTGCTGATCAATTAACAAAATCATAAAATAATTTATATTAAAAAAAAAAATCTTATCAATTCGAAAATAGATTCATGCATAAAGATATTTTGGACTGTCAAAATATCTCTTTTATAATGATAATTTATTATTTTATTTTTTTTACGTTACAAATTATGTTGTTCTGAATATACTCTAACAATCATTTGTAAAAAAAAAAGTTTCTCAATAATAGGTGAAAAGCGTTAACATACAAACTTATGCAAACAGTATAGGTTAATATTCTTTATTGTACACTGCTTATGTGAGTACCTAGCCATTTTTATACATGTTATTGGATCATTTCTAATACTTAATACACAAATTTTGTTCACCTCCTATCGGAGGTGAACAAAATTTGTGTATCAAGTTTAGAAATGACCCAATAAGATGCAGAAAACGGCCAGGTGCTCACGTCAGAAATGTACAATAATTAGTTATTGTGTAATCGCTGATTTCTTCACAGCAGACACCGCGTTATGACGTGCCCTTCGGTCACGTCATAAGCACAGTGTCCTAGTGAATAATCAGTTATCATCAACAACATGACCAATAACAAGTACGTATAAATATCACCCCTCATAATATATACTTACATATTACTTACAGAATATCAATTTAATTATTGATTAAATTCTTTTAGTAATGTGTTGAAATCGGGTGTAGTATTAGATCCTTTGTTTTCTAGAACAGACATATCATCTAAATCTTTAATTTCGGTAGCAATTATGTTATTTGCAATATATAAAAGATCATCTGGTGTATTGGACTTTTTCTTTTTAGCAGATTTCTTTGGTGCTGGTGGCGCTTTATGCTTAGAGGACACAGGAGATTTTTGTATTTCTAATTCATCCCTAAATATATGGGGATATTGACACTGAAACAGTATAAGTCGCATCATCATTTTTTATGATTTGTTAAACTCATTAACGACTACTACTTACGTTACGGTTATCATATTTTCCCGTGTCAGCAAATACAAAACAGTAATTGATATAACCAGCCTTTTCACATTCATCTTTCGTAATATGCGGGAAAGAACACTAATAAAATATATATATGGGTTAAAATATGTTAAGATATTAATCTTTACCAAAAAAAAAACAAACTTTAAATAACCTACATTTTAAAAAACTCAAAACAATAAAAGACCCTTTATCATTCGGTCGAACAGGAAATGTGGGCGATACTGACGCAGAATTGTTAGAATTCCGAATTGCATTTGCTTTTTCTAATTGCTTTCTTTGTTGATCGAGCAGTAGTAAAAATGGACCGATTACATTCACTGAACCTTGTGATTCAACCTCTTTAGACTGCTTTTCAGATACATCTACTGACTCTTGTGTCTCAACCTCTTTAGACTGCTTTTCAGATACATCTTGAATTTCAATCTCTTTGACCTGCTTTTCAGATACATCTACTGACTCTTGTGATTCAATCTCTTTAGACTGTTTTTCAGATATATCTTCCTTAACAGATAGTAATGAAATAGGTTTCAGACTTTTTATCGAGATCAAATCAGTCATTCTTTTTAAAGTGGGAAATCTTAAATTATCATTCACCTGTACATCTATTTTTTGCTTTATCTCATTTGATTCATCTTTACTACATTGATCATCCATAACCAAGTCATCTACTCCCAAAGAAAGTCTATAAGTAAAAAAAAAAAAAAAAACATAAAACATTGACATAGACACGTTATGTTCTAATTGGACTCATAATTTGCTCATTTATCAGTAACATTATCAACTTTATCAGATTTTTTTTTGAACGGATATATCAGTATTTTTTTTCTTCATGCATAGAAAAAATCTCACATGTTCGATGAAAGGAATAAAATGAATTTCTTTCATAAGCGTCTCTGGTAAAAAATGAGTTACAATCAATTGATGGTGAAGGATAGTCGATATGTTGACTAATAAAAAAGAAAGTTTTCGAAATTAAAAAGCATTAAAAAAAAAAAAAAAGAATTGTTTAGGTTAACACGTTACAAATTTAAATAAAATTACCGTATGGTCTCCGCTAAAGGTTGATCGTGATTTTCGGGAGCAGCCTCGGTCTCAACAAAAGAAATAATTCCTTATTATTACTGTTACTTCCAGCATTTACGCCTCGAATAATAGGAAGTGTGGGAACCAATTTTTTCTGTCGCGTAGCACGAGAGCTACGTTCCATACTTGTGTTTGTGTTAGTTCGAATTCTTTGTATCGCCATGGATATTATTTAGCGTTAGTAATAATTAAAATTTGGTTCGCTTCGATTTTTACGTTACACCTGATCCTGAAATTCGATTGGCCAATATTACAGGGTGGAAAATTTTTTGTGGGGCTTTGATACCAAGTTTGTTTCTGCTGGGTTTACTGGGGTGCCGTCAATAGAAATCAGGCAGATTGATATTTTAAAAAAAATCTATACCTCAACTTTCACAGCCAATAACTCGATAAATATTGAAGCTATCTTGATAATTTAATATTCAAAAGAAAGATTAGATTCTAAGCTTTCTTTTGAATGTTGTAACATCAAGATAGCTTCAAAATTCATCGAGATATGAGTTGCGAAAGTTGAGGTATGGACTTTTTTAAAATGTCAATCTGCCTGATTTCTATTGACGGCAGCCCAAATATCATTTTCCATTGGACGAAACCAGCTACATTACTGATTAGGGTGGCTAAAAAATTTCTTAATTGGCAATTCGCAGTAGCGTTTCATTTATTTGCAGTATTGCATCAATATCAATAAAAATGAACTCGAAACTTTCAAATGTTTGTGTCCAAACAAAAGTAAAAATCGCGGCCCAGAATATAGTTAAGGAGTCTTACAATGGATTTAAAATTACAAGCTTGTAAACGTAGGTCTCGGCAAATTTTTATTCTTTTGAGAAATAAAGCACCGAACAAAAACTTTATAAAGGTTTTCTTGGTTGTATTAGAAGCACGAATTTTCATTAACATTTAATGTTTTAGATTATTTTGATCTTTTATTTATTAGCAGAAAGAATTCTGGATAAATACTTTCACTCAATAAAAATAATTTGATTTTTTTTTTTATTAAAGGCAGTGCTAAAGTAGCGTGATCTAGTTTATCCAATTAAAGATGAGATTTCATGCGTCCAATCACAACTTGGGGGAATTAAGTAAAAATAATTCGATTCAAAATTTTAAAATTTACATATCGATATCAATATAATCTGTATTTGCATTAATTTTCGACGTGATCAATATACATATTCTCAATTAAAAACCAGATAAAAATATAATTTCAAAAAATAGTTTGATATTACAAGTGTGGTACTTAATCTGTAGACCTGTGATATTTTTATTCTTACGTTAGGGTGTCCAGGATTATGCGAAACAAATTTAAAATTATGCGATCTTTATTATTGAATGCTATATGTAATTATATAGTTCTAATTAGTTCTATTTTTTACATCGGAACTTTTCGGTAGTGTTTGGAACCGGTTTTATTTTTCATACCTATGTTAAAACCGGGTTTAACATATGAAAAATAAAACCGGTTCCAAACTCTCCTTTTCGCCCAAATTACAAATTTAATATACTCCCAACAACCAATCATATTTTATTCACGTGGTTTATGCTGAAGCATATGCGATGCGAAAAATTGGTAAATTATGCGCATATTATGCTTTCGCATAATCCTGGACACCCTATCTTACGTATCTGATGTAACTGATGACTTAGTCTTTTTGCTTCTAGCCCTTTATCACCCACTGGTTTCTGCACTTCTTCTAATAACCAGGAAATATGGCCAAGAACCCTTTTAACATCATCCTCCATTCCATCACTGTTATAATCAACAGTTATTGATTTTGATAATTTGAAATTCGGTCTTTCTTGATCATCATAAGAACATTCCAAAAAATACCATGTAACCGCATCTGTAATAATTCCAACCACCTTATCTCTAAAGGTATCTTCTTTCTGCATTTCATAAAATTTACGCTTGCGATTTGCCAAAGCTGATTCAATTTGAACAGCATTTTGGGCAATACCCTTTCCAAATTCTTCGTGTTTGACTTCTGTCACACCAATGATTTTTAAATTTTCAGGTGCATGAATTGCGTAATCAACCGGACCATGTCCATTAGGTCCTACAATATTAAATTGTGGATCGATTCTAAACTTTTCATTATATAGGTTTGCGCTAGCAACAAGATATAAATACACATATAATGATTTTGATGCTTCATTTAAAAGAATAGTGTACCTAGAGAAAAGATTCAGATTGTTTTAAAAATTTCCTGTGAAGATTCGTCATTCAGTTCTTTGCACCCACACATGAAACGTGGGAATTCAAATAATGAGTCGTTTCCAATTCCATATAACTGGAATATTTGTGGTAATGTCCAATCCGCGAAGGGTTTTGAAGGGGTTTCTATAAATACGGTAAATAAGGCTATGTTTTCTATAATGAGTTGCCGGAGCATTCCACGAAACGAGACATCATCTTGGGGGTGTATCTAGTACTGTCACATGCAAATACCAATACCGCATAATCATTCTCTAGTGCTGGTGTCTTGTACTTGTCATATATAATTTTTTTTAAACCGTAAAGGCTTGCATGATCGACATTTACAGTCTTTCTTTCCTTTTTGGGTGAACAATTATTTCAAACTCTACGTACAATGCAACGGCTGGATTAATAAAATAATTAACAATCTCTCAACATATTCACTATTTTATACATACTGTTGACGATCTGTGCCTTCAATAAGGCGAGCAATTCATTAAGACTTGAAGTCTGTGCCTTCAATAAGGCGATTTTATTGAGTAATTCATCTTCACGACTTGAAGTGATAGTTGGCCCTGGTTAATATTAATATGCAAATGAGAATCAAAGCCAGTCAAGGTAAAATTAAACTACACAACTGCACTCACGCTCAACAATAGTATGTATATATTTTTTAGTGGGTTGTTCATTAAAATAATCTTGAACTTCATTTGGTGCCAATAGCTTTGTACCTTCTAATTTTTGTTCGATCACAGCATACTCCTTGTTAACAAGTATATCTAGCTTCTCAGATCCGAGGAGGGAGACATCAACTTTCCAAAGTTTGAGCTTACCCGCAGAGAGGTTATCAAAATCAGGTTTCTTATCATCTTTTATAACTTTTTTAAGTGCGCTAACTGTCTCTTTTTTATTGATTTTAACCTCAAAACAGTCGTCATACGGGTCGTCTCCCTCGACTAAGCAATTAAGTTTAATAACATCCATATTATCGTGGAAGAAATTGTTATATGCGAGATCTGGGTTTATTAATTTTCCTCACCAGTTCCTATTGGACCCCATTGATCAGAGTGGTTAAAAATTTCAAATGATTATTTTTGTCGTTGAATACTGTCTTGTTCTTTTGAATTAGTGCTTTTTTTTTTAATCTATTAGTAAATAATCTTGCTTGAACGATTAATTGTTTGTATCAGCAGTTTTAATTGTTATCAATTATTTTTTGTATGAAGAAAAAGTAAAACTCTCGGCCAAGAAAATGGTTGAAATAGGGTTGGGTATATTTTAAAATTACAAGGTTGTAAACATAGGTCTCAATAAATTTTATTCTTAAAAATAAAGTATCAGACAAAAACTTCATAAAAAATTTCTTGTTTGTGTTAAAGCACTTATTTTCATTAATGATTTCAATTATTTTCAAATTATTTTTACTATCAAAAAGATAAATTTCTTGGTTGCATCATTAATGTTTTCGATTATTTTTAATTTATTTTTACTAGCAAAAAAAACTCTAAAAGTGCATAAATAAATATCTCCACTTCCTTTTGCAAATAAACCAACCATTTTTTTTTATTTTATTTTTATTTTTAAGGAACTGGAAGTGTATAAGTTAACATAAATCTAAATATAAATTTTAGGGAATTTACATATAAGGCCCAAAGTGAAAATAATTACATATAAGGGCCCAAATTTTGAAAAAATATTGCAAATTTTTAGCGTATGAAATTATAATAAATGTAATTTATCGATTTTTAAAAGTAATTTGACTTTCTCTATGAATAAAAATGAGCTTCTTCGGTTCTAAATATCTTCGATTAATATTGTTTCTTGGTTAAAAGAAAATTCATTAAGCGAAAGGTAAAGTAAATCAATATATATATATATTATTATATATATATTATGATACGTATGTGATAGAATTTTAAAAATAGAAATTTTAAATAAATAAATTTTAGAAAATACTGTTTCACTAACATCTAATTCTAAAATCGGAAATGAATTCGCTCTGATCTATGTTAACAGTACAGCAGTAAGAATTTCAACTTTGAATGTGACAAATTATCACCTATTTTAACATCATCATTCACATCATTCACGTAAATGATATTTTTTGTTTGGTAATTCCTCAATTACTTTATAAGTAAACAGATCAATATCGCTACGGTTTACTGTGAGAATTGCAATAATCAGATCATAGTTGATTAACGAAACAACGTATATCAGATATATTTGGGTCTTTGTAGTAGAAAGTGAGAAAGTGATGGAAATTTTATAAACATAAATACCGGTAGGTTATGTTTTTTTGTCAATATCAGATATATACAGGTTAATAACTATAGATAGAGAACAAGGTATAGAGATTTTGTGTATGCCCCTTAGACTTCATTTTTTTCTAAAAAAAACAAACCGTACCCCGAACCCTAACTATAGATAATTCACAGTATTACGCTGTTTTTTCCATTTTATAATCTTGACTGTGCAAGGTTTCGCGTACGTACATCATTCTTTCTCGAGTAAATCCATATATATATTTGTGTTTTCATTTACTCCGTTCCATCCTAATACATCCTAATACATCCTGATATTTCCCTTTTTTCTCATCATTTTGATAATATAAATATAATCCTACCATGGTATTTGCGGAAAGAAATGTCCGTTTCTTATAAAGATTCTAGTTACTATATATGGATGTTTGTTTATTTAAAAAAACTTTGTACGTAGTAAAGAGAACTATAAATCTAAAATAAAAAAAGTTATCGTTCAAGATTAAAGACCTTTAACATCAATTTCAAAAGAAATATAATATTTTTTTTAAAAAAATGAATATATCTAATATATATACACAAGAAGATAATCTTTTCGGTTTCTATGTTTTTCATAATTTAATCACTATATTAGTACCTTTATTTATCGTTTTAGCCTATAAAAGTAGTATGAAAACACTCGTTGGCTATCTTGAACTTAATATCGCGCTTTTCTTTATATTGATTTTTCCTTCCATATATGAATTTTATAAGTCCGGTTATTATTATTTATGGCTTATTCCGATTATAGATATAACGATATTCGCTATAATAATCGATATATCATCAATAATTTCAATCAAAAGTTTAGAAAAGAGACTCAAAGAATTACAACAAGATATAAATAATGAAGAGAGTATAGAGAAAAGGATAGAGAATGAAATTGGCAATTGGAAATTTTCATCTTTATCATTATATACGTTTCGAACTTGGATTAAAAAATTTGGATATATGAAATATTTTTTATATGGAATTTATTGGTTACTTTACCTTTTATCATTACCCGCAAATTTTTTAATGTTAGTATATTTATCTTGGAGTAACAAATATATTATGGTTGAACAAATTGGTTATCTTACATTTATTATTATCTTAAATATCTTAATTCTTTTAACATTTTTATTTTGCTTATGTGGTAGATTATGTTTGGGTCTTTATTTTTACACTGTTACTACAACTGCTTTAAATCTTTCTATAGTCTATTCAAATAATCTGTTTTTTACAGATTTGATTCTAGCAATTATGGCTTATTTATTAGGAAGAATGTTTGATAGTGAAGCTCTTATAGGTAAAAAACTAAAAATGAATGATAATAAAATAATGGGGTTGGCTAATGAATGTAAAGTAAAAAGTATACCTATTTTAAAATACTTTTTTTATTTCTACAAAACTGGTAAGCAAATAACAAAGGAGAATAAAGAGGAAAAGAAAAAAGAAGTTAACTTATGGCTAGATTGGCTAAATTTTAATTTACCAGAGGAGTTAGCTTAGATCGTGCTTTCTTCAAACTAAATAAAGATTGTCTTATGTAGATACTATTATGATGAGTTCCTATAATACTTTATTACATTTCTTTTTACTATTCTATTTTCTTTAATTTTATTTGTATTATTATTATTAATTTAAATATTTATACGTATCGATATTACTTAATTTAATTTACATTTAAATATCGATATATATTTTTAATAACTGCCTGAATAAGAAATATGCCGCAAAAAATTAGCATTACGTAATCTTGATGTTAATACTAACGCTTGAATACAGGAATATCCATGTTCGGTTCTTCTCAAGCATTCACGTTCTATCTTGATCACATTGAATACGAAACCAATCATGATTCTCATACAGAGTACGAAACGAACAAAAAACATATGCATTAAAGTGACTCAACTATTTAAAATTAGCAAAATAAGTTTACAAATCAGAAGATTAATATTTACTTACCATAATTTAATATTTTTCAAATTTATTTTATTTGTATTAATTTAGCTAATAAATACAAAATTTATTTTTATTTTATAAAGTCTAAAATTATATAGTAGACATAAATAAAATACAATATCTTATGATTATAATAAAATAAAAGTGTGCATATTGTTCTAGCCCTAAATTCGAATTGAAGTCAAAAATTTAACAAAATAAAAATATTTTTATTTTTACAAATTTTATCTATATTGTAAGTGTACAAGGAAAAGAATGCCTTATTGGTAGAGAAAGTAGTAGATATAATATATTAAAGAGAATCAATCTAATGTTAGAAAAGATTAAAAGCTATAGTAACAACAAATGAAATAACAAAGCAGACAACCTTATAAAATCAGTTTTAAACATATTTACTTTAACATCAAGAAAATTAAATAAGTATATATTTGTATTTTTGCAGATTTTTACAAAATTTTTACAAATAATCTACAAAATTTTTTAAAATTTAAAATTTTATACAGAAATTGTACTTATTTCTGTTATTAGAGTTGAAGTTTTACACAGATTTTTATTTGATTTATTATGCAAATCTGTACAAGACTGCATTAAAAAAATTTTTTTAATAAACATATTATAATAATAGTACAAGATTTAATTATACACTTTATTGAAACAATTATTAAATAGAAAACTCTACAAAGATTTTTATTAAAAAAGCACTTGGAATTTGAAATAACATAAACTATAATGCTTCAATATCATGAAATTTTTTTTAGTGAAAATCTATACAAAAATGCAACCCTCTTAATTAGTAAAAAATCTGTACAAAATTTTGACTCTGGTAAAAATTTTGAAGATTTAAAAGTTTGCATAGAAATTACCAAAAAATTTTAAAGTTCTGTATAAAAATTTATATATGTACAAATATTTACAATCAACTTTATAAAATCTGGATACATATATATATATCTGGATAAATATTTATAATCAACTTTATAAAATTCAAATATATACATATATACTTATATATCTTAAATCTCCTATTATTTAATATTCTTTTAGTTTAGGTTTAATATAATTTGATGACTTTATATATTATTAGAAAAGTAAACTTTAAAATATATAAAGTATTTTAAAAGTCTATATTTACAATTTAATAATTTAATAAAAGAATATAAATATATTATAGTCAGACCTCTTTAAATACAACTTCTCTAAATACATAATCTTCTTAAATACATATTAATTTTCTGGCCCAAATATATACCAAATCTTTATAAATGCATTTTTTCTTATTGTTTTCTTAATATATACCCCAAAAGTTTGGTTTCAACAATATACACTTAGAGAGAGCTAACTGTAATATAGAAATATTGTAAACTGATAATTCTAGAATAATGTTTATATATTCCGACTAGCAGCCTAATATTTAAAAGTTTAAAAAATAAATATGTATTATTAGAAATATAAAATTCAAAATCGTATATTTTTAATAGAATAGTAAAATATATTAATAGAGAATTATTGATTCTAAAAATGATGTTTATATATATACACTAATATTCTAATATTTAAAGGTAGAAAATACATAAATCATTTATTATATGATTTTTTTGTGGTACAACGTGATTTTTATAAAAATAAAATATGCTGCTAATAAAACTTTTTACTGTTTTAATTAATTTTTGTAAAATTTTTATATTATATAGATTAATATTTACTCTTTATAATAGTAAAACTTTTAATAAATTAAATATTTAAAAAAAATATACTTGTATATATTGTAAGTTTTCCAAAGTTAGTTCAAATTTTCTGGAGTTATACAAAATTGTTGATTTTGATTAGTTTATGTCATATGATCATCATATAATTTTTATAAATAATTTATAATACTAAATATTTAAATATATGTATCTCAATGAATATCTAATCAATTTTAATAATTTTACTACTGTTAGAATCAGAAAAACCTAGTTTACATCTTTTATTAGAAATTTAAAACCAGTTTGCTTAATAAATTTTTTTTTTTTTTTTTTAACTTTGATGATTTTGTTATTAACTTTTTATTACTTATTTAAGCAAACATTACATATATATTACATATACTTTTAACTTATCTAAGTAGTTGTCATGACCTTACCTGGCTACCTTATATGGTGCCCAGATGCAACCATCTGCACCATCTCACATATGAGATGAACATTCTCGGGTACCTCTATCAAGAAGCACTCTAAGTTCTGATCTAACTCAGAACTTTAATGTTTTTACTAATTCATATATACTCCACTATATATACTACTATACAATGTCTACCAGTTATAATCCACTTCTTATCACTTATCATATTACTTCTAATTCGTTTCTTGTATAATTTTCAAATTGGTGTTCTAGGAGTAGGCACTCTTCTTGCTTCCAGTTTGGTGTCCCTTGAGATGTTATTTCAGATCCTAATCTGTATCTCAAGCCAGATGCTGCTGCCATCTGAAGACCCATATCTCAAGCTACCTGCTATTGCCATTAGGAGAGCTGTTCACATGGTTCCAGGTATTCACATTATATACTACCAAATTAGACTACCACTCCATTTATAGTATTCCCTATCAGTATGGTATTACAGAAGTTTAGATTTTTAGAATGAGAGTTAAGTACCTTATTTAATTACTGTCACAAGCCAGTAACTTGGGACCTGCACTTCTGCTATGTTTCGTCATGCTTCCATAACTCCTATATAGGTTGTGCAACACATTACTTACTAGCCGACTTTATTTTCATACCACTGAAGCACTTGTTTCTATACTTTTCAGAGTTTCTTTTAGCTGGTTTTCCTTGTTTTCTTGTGCCAGAGCTGTTCCATATTTGGTAAAGCCATTCTCTTACCACAGCCTCTTACTATGTTCACTGCTTTTCTTACCACTTCTGGATATATTGCATATAGCCATCCTTCCAATTAAGATCCCAATACTGCCTTAGAATTGTTGGTGCTATTTTGCCAATCATGAATTCACACGCACAGCCTTCTGCAGTATTACCTTCTGTAACCCATATCACACATAGTGCCCGATCTTCTCCATGGCTCAGAACTCCTTCTAAGAATTCTTTATTGGCCAAATATGTACTTCACATAGTCTTACCACCACAAAGTTTTATATTCAAAAGCTCCTGAAAGTTACAGAGATAATTAATTAAATTAATTACCACCAGCTGTAATTGAACCATCAATCTCGTCTGTGGAAAGTTAGATGCCTAGACCACGACCTTAATCCTATAAATTTTTTTTAATTTTTAAAAAGAAAAAATTTACTATTAGTTTTATATGTAATTTGCAAAAAGTATCCTCTACTCTTAAAAGTTCAGAAATAAATATATATTATAGTCAGACTCCTTTATAGTCACCTTCTCTATAGTCACAAAATCTATATAGTTATATTTTTATTTTTACTAACTCATTTTAATATTATTTTTATCTTTATATAATCACAAATGCTTTATAGTCACTATTATAATTTTTTAACAATCACTTATATAGCATCTATATAAAATTACTTTCAATAAAGTTATATCAAATTATGCGATTCTATTAATCTAACAATCATTTTGTCAATACTTCATCTCACTCATTCATTCAATTCTTATTTTACAAAGTTTATTTTGCCAATACTCATTTTATAAAGTATTTCTTTTAGTTATTGCTATTAAGGTCAGGCTTAGAAAAAAATTAGTATTATTTAAAAAAAAAAACTTGGTTTAAATAAGCTGTTAGTGAACTAAACATAAACTAAGTAAAATAATTGTTAGTATCTAAATGATTTTTTGTGAAATAGAACAGATTCCAAAACACAGGTTTTACTTCCAAATATTTTTTGTCAAAATGTAATATTTATTAAAGCTGCGATCTTAGATAAGTGACAACTATAACAACTACAAATAGGATAAATAAAGTATTAATATAATTAGTTGAGACACTATTATATAATAAGATCAAGATTTAATAATGCAATTTTTTTTTTAGTTAAAGCACATAAGTGCTTGTTTTTTTAAAAGTTGCTATTTTATTTCAATAGTAAAACCATTTATAATTAAATAACAAAATTAAGCAGAAAACAAGATTGAAAGTATTAAAGCTAGGTAACATTAGAGTTACCAAAAAAAGATAAAAGTGAAGATTGTTTTTTAGTTCTTTTCTTTTCAAATCTCTATTCTTTTAGCATTTTTCTTAATATATTAATCTATTCTCATCAAATCCATTTTCATTATCAAGACTTTCTTGATATCTTATAACTTTTTCTAATGCTTTAATAGCTTTAGCCATAGTTATCAGAAGTGGTGGCAATTCTTTGTTATTATCATCTAATGATTTAAACTGGGTAAAAAATTTCTAATCGGTTAACCGAGTTGACTTACCCGGATACAATTGGGTTAACCGTATTGCTTTGGTTAGATTGGTTGACCCGGCTAATTCGGTTGACCCGAGTTATTTGGGTCAACCAGGTCAACTGAGTTATTCGGGTCAACCGGGTCAACCGAATTATTCGGGTCAATCGAGTTATTCAGGTCAACCGAATTAT